ATTAATAAGAGCTTGTATTGAATAGGCAGTAACTACGCGAATATAACTTCATTCATACGCACAAACAAACAAAAGAATACAAATGCCTGAAATTAAAGTATTCACGAACCAGAGTGGATATCTTTTAGTTAAAAAGTTATTAACTCTATGTATGTACTACTTAATTGGCAGTATAGAAATATGTAACAAAACATCACGCCTTTTATCCCCGAAGGGGTAGGCAGAGGTACACACAGAAGTAACACCCACTTTTCACTATTTATGCTATGAGTCCCATAGTATAGTGTATAGTTTATTTATGTATAGAGTATAGGAATAGTGTCTCTAGTGTAGGAATAGGTGTGGTATAGGAATAGTGTGTCAATAGTGACAATCTCTTATGATGACAATCGGTCAAATAAAAATATTGAATTGAATAACATCAACTACGTATCTATCTATTATCATATTTTGTAAAAAGTATGACTTACTTTGAACCAATACAACGCCATGTTTTTTTTATGGCATAAGCCAGTAAACGAACAGACGGATCACCTGTTGGTAAGCAATCGGCGTCGCCCATGGACACCTGGAACACCAGAGGCGTTACAAGTGCGTTACCGGCCTTTTGGGTATTAGGAGTTTGAGGGTCGTTAGGGATTTAGGGATTGGGAAGATTGGGGAAGGGGATGGTAATTGGGCCTCCGGAAACTTCACTCACACGACGAAACACAACGCAAGCGTTGCTTCACGTCGGTTTTCTGTGAGGCCGTGGTATCACTCCGGTCAAGCCGACCCATTCGTGCCAAAGCATGGCTCTCGTCTCTTAAAATGTGACGTGATGGAAGCAATTAAGTACTATTGTGCTCCAAATATTTGTCCCTCATCCAATACGTGATAGAAAGCACAAAACGACGCCAATGCCCTCTATGTCGTCCACATATTTGTCCGAACTCATTGACACGGGACCCTTACATCGAAAGGAAGCACATAAGAACGCACTTGAGTTCGTATGTCATTATTATAATAGGTACTTATGTTATGGTTTGGTTGGGTAATATTATGTTGTATCGTGTTAAGCCACCTTTTATATACTACTGCCGAAAACCGATACAATATTAAATATTGTAATCGTAATGTATAAGACGAAAACTAAGTAAATACCTACATTTAGTTACTTAAATTGAGGATAATATGTATTAAAAAATATTATGTCTAAGTATATGAACGTATAGGAAGATATTGAATTGAGTATCTTCCAAAAAGTACTTAATTGACTCCGTTCCGTAAAGTAAGTGACAGTGACAGAGTCAACTCTAAACTGTGCTAGCCTTTAAAAACCTTATTCAAAAAGTCGTAATAATGAACCGAGATGACTACGTGGACACAAAACGACACTAGCGCCACGATTCAGTTCAGCAAAGCAAAGTGTAATCCTCACTTGTTCCGTTTCGCATCACTCAACAACAAGCTGATGTCGACCTGTATTTTGAGCGGGGATTTCATGCTAATAACTGCTTTCTATGTAAAATGCCATATTATATCTGTAAGTAGGTAGCTAAACCAGAAAAGTTTCTAGTAAAAAGAGTATTAATGTCGTATAGTAGATAAATTAAATCTTCAATATTGCTGGCGATGGTTTCTTGATTTCTCCCCTTATAAACATGAATTTAATGAATCGCAATATGTTATGCTAGTATTTTTTTTTTGTTTGTTTTAATAACGTTACATCCTACATGCTATGACGTTTTAATTTTGGTTTTCTATCTTTATTCTATATTTCATACGCCTGTGATGACAGATTTTGGTGGTACTGACTTAATAATGTGATCATTCAGAATCGTAATGGACCCAAAATATAATGAATAAATGATTTGATAAACAAATTTACTAGAATTTCTCTATATTTGGCCATAAATG